AAACTTAACCAGGAAAACTTAACATTGATCAATGAACCATGAAAATGAGGCTAAGGTCAGATGAACCCTGCCAGACAGATATGTACACCTTACAATCATTCCATGCATTAAATATAGTTGACCTATATCATATAGTATCTAAGAAACAAACTTAACCAGGAAAACTTAAGATTGACCAATGAACCATGAAAATTTGGTCATGGTCAGATGATAATTGCCAAACAGACATATACACCTTACAATCATTCCATACACCAAATATAGTTGACCTATTGCTTATAGTATTATAAAAAACTGACAAAAAAACAAAAACTTAACATTGAGCAATGAACCGTAAAAATGAGGTCAAGGTCAAATAAAACATGCCAGACTGACATGTACATTGTAAAATATTTTCATACACCAAATATATTTGACCTATTGCATACAGTACAAGAAAAACAAGAAATAAGAAAATCTGAGACTATAAACAAATAAAATCTTATAACTCGGAAACGTAAAATTGGAAATTTATGAAAATCAAAAGGGAGCTTACAAAAATAGATATAAACAATTTACCAAAGTTTCATAAAAAATGCTGACAGCATTTTTGAGTTAGTGTCCGAAAACTGGAAAACCCCCTTTTTGTAATAAATAAAACCCCATAAATTGGAAACGTATAGTCTGAAATCTATAAAAATCAAAAGGGAGCTCATGTCGAAGGAAATGAACAATTCACCGAAGTTTCTTGCAAATTGGTGAAATTATTTTTGAGTTATTGTCTGAAAACTGGAAAATCCCCCCTTTTTTAATGAATAAAACCCCAAAACTCAGAAACGGTCAATCCGAAATTTATAAAAAACAAAAGGGAGCTCACGTCAATAGATATGAACAATTCACAAAAGTTTCATGCAAATTGGTGAAATTGTTTTTGACTTATTGTCCGAAAACTGGAAAATCCCCCCTTTTTTAATGAATCAAAAACGAAAACTTGGAAATGGTAAATCTGAAATTTATAAAAAACGAAAGGGAGCTCACGTCAATAGATATAAACAATTCACCAAAGTTTCATGCATATTGGTTAAAGCGTTTTTGAATTAATGTCCGACATGTTGACGACGGACAGACAGACGGTCAACGGTATACCATAATACGTCCCGTAAACGGGCGTATAAAAACAAAGAAATGACAAACAGCAGTCCACAGAAAGCTAAACGATTGAGTAGCACAAGCTTCTCAAAAACATTGGTTGAAAAAACTCTTTTGTTAGTCTTTATTGCAAATATTCAACAATCAAGTAAACAATATTTAGAATAAACAAGCTGATCTGTGAGCTATTGCTCACTAATGATACTCCTGCTAGGAGTACTCAGTAAACAGAAAGTTGATGAGAGATGAATATGAAAACGAATCACAAGGTATAACATGCTCACACTATGCCTGATACCTAATTTCAGGTAGCTCTGGGCCCTTGGTCATAAAACTTTACTTAGTACTCAGAGTACAAAATTTGTGATCGAAACACCAAATCCAATGCTTTGATTGGTTGATTTCTGAGTCCGATTACGATAATCATACTCAAAGATTTATGACCGCAAGGCCTGATCTGTAGTTCCTGAGAAAAATTTCATTGGACAGATGGACAGAAGGAATCATGGAGGATGAACAGACAGAGGTAAAACAGTATACCCCCTAATTGAGGGGTATGCATATCCTAGGAAATAATAGAAGTGGATAAGTAATTTATTGTCATTTCTGAAATGATGAACCAATTATTTAATATTGGATGTAACACGTCTGATTGGCTGAAAGTGTTTTGTCTATCAGCTCATAGACATAATTTTGTCATGTGACCGTGATGTCATCAAAGTTTTTATCATGATTAACTCCTTTTTAGAAGTAAATTATAAGGAATGACTGTAATTTTTGTTCTGTCTATTCGAAATAACCTAAATAAAATGCTCCACTGGGCGCAGCTTGATACGACTGCAGAGGTCGAACCCTGAACAGTTGGGGCAAGTATGGACACAACATTCAAGCTTGATACAGCTCTGAATTTGGATTGTGATTAAATATTTGACACAGCATAGGTTTCTGACACAGAATGAATGTGGTCTAAGAACTTAAAAAATTTTAATTTACCTATTCAAACTATATCATTATTATTTGTTTTTATATATAAATCAGAAATAAACAACTTAAAATGGAAAATTTTAAAGAAAAAAAAAAGGAAACCCCCCCAATTTTTTGAACCCCCTTATGATTTATCACCCCCAAACTCAATCCCAGTCTTCCCTTTGTGGTATGGTACCTTGCAGTACAATTTCAGAGAGATCCATACACTTGAACACAAGTTATTGTCTGGAAACTAGAAAAATGCTGTTTTTTGCCCCTCTTTGGCCCCAAATTCCTAAATGTTAGGGCAATTACCCCAAACTCAAACCCAGCTTTCCTTTTGTGATATGGAACCTTATAGTACAATTTCATAAAGATCCATACACTTGAACACAAGTTATTGTCCTGAAACTAGAATAAAATGCTTCGCTGGGGCGCAGCTTGATATGACCGCAGAGGTCGAACCCTGAACAGTTGGGGCAAGTATGGACACAACATTCAAGCTTGATACAGCACTGAATTTGGATTGTAATTAAATATTTGACACAGCATAGGTTTCTGACACAGAATGAAAGTGGTCTAAGAACTTAAAAATTTTTAATTTACCTATTCAAACCATATCATTATTATTTGCTTTTATATATAAATCAGAAATAACCAATCTAAAATGGAAAATTCTAAAGAAAAAAAAGGAAAAAAAAATCCCTCCCCAAATTTTTTGAACCCCCTTATGATTCACCACCCCCAAACTCAATCCCAGCCTTCCCTTTGAGGTATGGTACCTTGCAGTACAATTTCAGAGAGATCCATTCACTTGAACACAAGTTATTGTCTGGAAACTAGAAAAATGCTTGTTTTTTGGCCCCTTTTTGGCCCCAAATTCCTAAACGTTTAGGGCAATTACCCCCAAACTCAAACCAAGCTTTCCCTTTGTGATATGGAACCTTGCAGTACAATTTCATAAAGATCCATACACTAACACACAAGTTATTTTCCTGAAACTAGAAAAATGCTTGTTTTTTTGCCCGTTTATGGCCCCTAATTCCTAAAATTTTGAGGGAATTACCCCCAAAATCAACCCCAGCCTTCACTTTGTGGTATGGTACCTTGCAGTACAATTTCAGAGAGATCCATACACTTGAACACAAATTATTGTCTGGAAACTAGAAAAATGCTTATTTTTGGCCCCTTCTTCCTAAGCTTTTTTGTCAATTACCCCCAAACTCAATTCCAGCTTTCCCTTTGTGATATGGAACATTATGGTACAATTTCATAAAGATCCATACTCTTACACACAAGTTATTGTCATGAAACTAGAAAAATGCTTGTTTTTTGCCCCTTTTTTGCCCCTTATTCCTAAAATTTGGAGGCAATTACCCCCAAAATCAATCCCAGCATTCCCTTTGTGATATGGAACCTTGTGGTACAATGTCAGAGAGATCCTTACACTAACACACAAGTTATTGTCATGAAACTAGAAAAATGCTTGTTTTTTGCCCCTTTTTGGCCCCTAATTCCTAAAATTTGGAGGCAATTACCCCCAAAATCAATCCCTGCATTACCTTTGTGATATGGAACCTTGTGGTATAATGTCAGAGAGATCCATACACTTACACACAAGTTATGTCTGGAAGTTACAAAAATGCTTATTTTTGGCCCCTAATTCCTTAACTGTTGGTACCATAACCCCCAAAATCAATCCCAACCTTCCTTTTGTGGTATTTCACCTTATGGTCAAATTTCAAAAAGATCCATTCACTTAGTGCGAAAACCAATGTGTCTTCGGACGACGACGCCGACGACGCCAACGTCATACCAATATACGACCACAAAATTTTTTTGCGGTCGTATAAAAATGCTTATTTTTGGCCCCTTTTGGCCCCTTTTTCCTAAACGTTTTGGGCAATAACCCCCAAACTCAATTCCAGCTTTCCCTTTGTGATATGGAACCTTGTTGTACAATTTCAGAAAGATCCATACACTTACACACAAGTTATTGTCCTGAAACTAGAAAATGCTTGTTTTTTGCCCCTTTTTTGGCCCCTAATTCCTAAAATTTTGAGGCAATTACCCCCAAAATTAATCCCAGCATTCTCTTTGTGATATGGAACCTTGTGGTACAATGTCAGAGAGATCCATACACTAACACACAAGTTACTGTCTGGAAGTTACAAAAATGCTTATTTTTGGCCCTTTTTTCCTTAACTGTTGGTACCATAACCCCCAAAATTAATCCCAACCTTCCTTTGGTGGTATTGAACCTTCTGGTAAAATTTTGTACTTATTCACTTAAACTAAAGTTATTGTCTGGAAACTAAATGCGTTTTCGGACTACGCAGATGACGACATGATAGCATTATACGACGCAAAAAAGTTTTTGCGGTCGTATAAAAATGTGGTGCACACTTTTAAATAACCCACTATCAGAGGTGGATTCAGGGGGCAGGGTGCCCGGCCCCCCTTTTTTGGGAAAAATTTGGTTATTTAGGGAATCACTGAAGCCTGTCTAAGTGGGCCCCCTCTTATGACTGTCTGTGGGCCCCCTCTTATGACTTCTGTGGGCCCCCTCTTATGGCAGTCAGTGGGCCGCCCTTATGATAATTTCTGGATCTGCTACTGGTTATGGGGGTTAATCAGTGTGCACCACATTTTTGATGTTATCTCTTCATAGAAAAATATTACAGTCATTCCATAAGAAAAAAAACAGAAAAGATTAGAAAATTTTGAAAACTTCACAGAAAGCAACTAAATAATTTAAATCTTGAAAAATTTATGCAGGGGAGACAACTAAGAAACAAGTGTAACTGGCATATCATCTGTTGCTGTACATGTGGAAATAAAAAAACTTCTGAAAAAATCAGATTTTGTGTCAATAATTTTGGATCTTCATAAAATAACACAACAAATCAGTTTTATGATTTTATTTGCTGTTTCAACAAAGAAAAAGCAATTAACATACAAACAATGTCTAAAACTCAATTAATGTAATAAAAATATTCAATCTCATAGCGGTATATTATGACAATGAAATTCGAATTGAAATGAATTTTTTTCAGATCTAATTCCATTTCAATTTAGCAAACATTGAAAAGATAAAGTTGCAAAAATATGAAAACAGATCTTCTCTTGTTTAACAATTAAAGTGGAGTAGAAAATAACTAGCTGAACATACTTTTTGGTTGCTTAATTCTTTGTTTTATATATTAAAGTTCAATTTATGCATCATCCCCAAATACCTTAATTGATTTTATCAACTCTTTGATAATTTTAGCATTAATTTCGAAAACAGGAGTCTAACAGGACAGCTGAAAAATCAAAATAATGTTCATTAAAGAACATTTTGGATTTAATTTATTACCTTATTCTTTCAAATGAAAAAAATATATAACTAATGTATGAAAGCAAAAGGTAAAACTCCTGTAAAAGATCATACTTTGGTAAAGCCTTTAAAAAATCCATTTACATAATTTAACTTAATGGAAAAATCAAAAATATAAATGTTTTAATGTGTGTAAACATATCATACCATTATAAGAATATTCATAATATGAAGCCAATGAAAACAACAATTTGATTATGTATATGAAAAATCACAACCTTAAAATACAATAAGACAATAAATATATAATTTTACATATGTTACATAAATATATCCATGCACATATGTCACAACCATAGTGGTACAATATCACACATTTACATGTGCTGGTCACAACATGTACAAGCACTTTTTTCCTGTCCTAGCCCCTGAAGCACATTACACTGAAAATTTCATCATAATGTCAATAACTGTCATCTAATGCCCAGTGCTTGGTGGTCAAATTAAAATTAAACAAAAATATGTGGCAGTAAAAAAATTATTTATGATATTGATATATATTTCGTTTTTCCTCTAAGAAGAATTCTTTTTCAGTTAAAACAAAATAGCACAATCAGACTTGTAAATGTCGTCGTATTCTACTTTGAAGAATGGGAAAATTTGCATGATGGTAAATGGAAGTGTCAAATTGAGATTTTCAACTTTTCCCATACAAAGGTATATATTGGATTCATAAGAACTTGACCTGGCTTTTAATACTGATATATTTGACCAATTAAAATAATGGTCTGAAAAATTCTTCAAATTACCAAATCATAAGAACATATGAGGTAGAGGTAAAAATTCCTATAGAACCTTCAATACTGCACAAAGTCTAGTACAGACATTTTTCCATTAAACTTTGGGCAATTTAGAATTTCACAATCATAATAGTAAAATTTTATGAAAAATTTATGGAGATAGATATAAAGTACATTGAGATCTAAACAAACACAAGATATTCTGTTAGCTCACCGAAACGATATATCTTTTTATATTTAAAAAAATTATTGCATGAAGTTTTATTTTTGAAAAAATTCGCAAGAGTGTCTAGAGGTAAACCAACAGTTCTTTACGAGTAACTAGTGAATTTGGCAATTTACTATCTGGCTGAGTTTATACTATCATTTATATTGCAAATGGAAACAAAGTTGGTGTGGTTATCAATCCTTATTTAACAAGGAGATAATAGAAAGTAAATATAAGATGCGCATCAAAATTAAACATTATGAAAATAAATGTTCAATACACAAAAATACTCTTCAGATCTTCAGAAAAAAAAAAATTTATAGAACACAATTCTTACAATATGTGTATACTTCTAAGTTTCTTTAAAAAATCAATATTCAAAAAACTAATTTCTGTGACATTTAAACATTGAGGATAATTAATAAGCATTTTAAAGCTGACAATAAACACTAATAAAAAATATTCATCAGCACTTCAGCATAATTTGTTTTTCATGAAGCATATAAACAATGGTCCTATTAGGAATGTCTTTGTAGATATCACAACCAAGAACATCTAAACATACATAAAGCAAATCAGAAAATCCTCCTTTATGCCTTATTACACTATTAAATTGTAATGGATTTATAAATCTATGGTATGAATGGATTTTCTGATTTCTATCTAATTTACAATTAAAAAGAATTAATACATGTTTTCGTTATTTTTTTCTTATTTAAAGGGCTGGTCCATTAACACTTGCTTAGCATCCAGGAAGGTGATTGAAAATTTTAATTGTTCAAGGAATTATCACTTTACCAATAGGGAATAGTCTATTTGCCAAATCTGCAATTTACCCGTATTGACCCATAGGAGGGAAATAAATTTCCATTGCCAATGCAGAGCAAGCATAAAGACTTTAACTTTTCCAAATCTATAACATTTAGTCTTTTATTAAGCCTAAAACTTTTGATATCGGTAATAAATTTTTTTAATTACTTTTTTTTAAACAGCTATTTTATTACATTTAACTTAGCATGTGTTTGCATGGGTAAACCATTCTGTCCAGTAAAAAACCATTATGAAATTGGCAAAGGGACATAACCCTGTTTGAAGCATTGTAATAACAGAATAAAATTGGTAATAGGCAAATAGACTATTGCTTACTTTACTTCGGTACAATGACAATGTGTGTTATGATAGAACAAATATTATGTATCACCTTCATTTATATGTGAATATTGACTTAATTGAATTCCAATTTTATTCATATGAAAATTTAAAGATTCCTTTACCATAAATTCAGAAATAATGAAATATTTTGATTAACGCCAAAAATATGCGTGGAGACCTGCCCATGTATTAAAATTACCAAAACAGCCTCAATTTATATTATAATTTTTGTATATACTATTGTACTACAGTTAGCAAAGTTATTGTATTTATTAACCTCTGATTATAAGAGTTATTGCTATTTAAATTTTTTTTACACTTGACCTTTTGACCTGACATTTAAAATTTTCTCTTGTGAAATTGTACAAGAAAGTCTGTGATATTCAGTTATGGAGAAAAAATAGCAGGAAGGTCAATAGGTCAATGTTTTTTCTGTTAAACGTTGACACTAATAAGCAGACAGGTCAAACTCTGAATTTACAGAGTCAGTATATAAAACAGATGTGATATAAAATAACACTCCTTATTTAGAAAGAAAATAACATTATCTGCAATTCTATATAACAGAGAATTACTTTGACTTACTAACAAAAATTGTAGCATTTATACAAATGAGATAATAAGTAAAACTAAAAATATATTTCAACAAATATTTTTTTTTTTACAAATTTTGATTTAAAAGTAAAACATATCTTTTTTATTGAAAATTTTTAATACTTTAAGGTCAATAAAAACAAATAATATACACAAATTATTAAAACTTAATATTTAACACAGAAGTATTTTGTTTTATAACATACATAACTGTATCCACATCATATATGGAAGTTATCAAAATATTTTTTACTGTAAAAAAAACCTTTTACAATTTTTGTACAAGTAGAGTTTTTCATATAGCACTTTCAACTAAACATTAAACAACGAAACGGAAATATCTTTTAAGTCTGTAGCAGTATACAACATTAAAGCTCTGTCGCTGTTCCTGCATCTAACAACGACAATGAACCGTAAAAGTGAGCAGGTACATTGATGACTTCACTGACTGGCCTAGGACCAGGTTTAATATTTAGTTCTTTTTTATACGTAGCTTCTTCTTTATCTACAACAATGTTCGGATTAGGAAGAAGTTGTGTGATATTTTCTGTCGGGATGTACCCGTTTATCATTTTGATGTCATTATTGTTTGAACATTTTTGGCATGGTTCATGCACGTAACCGTCACTACCAGCAGAGACAAAAACAGCATTGTCGGCTTCAACAAATTGTCCTGCATCTTGAACATACGATGTAATTTTTTCTTCATCAAGTTCATGTGATGCATTTGAATCCTTTGTTTGTTCATCCTCCAAAGCTGAATTAATCTCATTGGAAGTACAACTTTTCAATGTATCCTCATTAAAATCATACTTTCTCCGATCAAGAGGTAATTTGATATTAAAATGCTCCCTAGAATCTCCTGTAGCAATAGCAGAGGGAGGTTGAGTCACTACCTTATTAGATAATATGGATAGATTGTTCGTCTCATCATAGGTGGGGTCGTCCACCATGCTGCCTACGCTATGACATGGTTTGTTAAATGGCAGATGTTTACGTGGAATTTTTTCCGAGTTTGGACATTTCACTATATCAACACAACTATATGGCGACACAACACAAGATAAAACATCGGCACTACCTGAAACACCCGAACTTCTTTGTGGTCGAGGTCTAAATGTACTAAGATTTTTGTTGTCATGGTAATGAGATTCTCTTGAATCCATACTATTTCTAGCGAACTGTAGACGTGAAAACAGTGAGTTTACAGAGATCATACTACTTCTACTGCCCTCTGGAAGTCGGACATAATTCTTTCCTCCTTTCCCGTATAAACCCTGTAAAAAATAACATTTTAGTAGATAAATGTAATTTCATGAGAAAATTAAAAACTTAAATTAGGTGATTTAATGTTATTTCACTGGGATTAAAAAGGGGAGGTTGGGATCTCAAAAATTAGTTTAATCTGAAAGTGAGGAATGTTGGTGTTTATGTCTTATTGTATATCCTAATGTTTTTGTCATGTCAGGAATGTTGGTGTTTATGTCTTATGGTATATCCTAATGTTTTTGTCATGTCAGGAATGTTGGTGTTTATGTCTTATGGTATATCCTAATGTTTTTGTCATGTCAGGAATGTTGGTGTTTATGTCTTATGGTATATCCTAATGTTTTTGTCATGTCAGGAATGTTGGTGTTTATGTCTTATGGTATATCCTAATGTTTTTGTCATGTCAGGAATGTTGGTGTTTATGTCTTATGGTATATCCTAATGTTTTTGTCATGTCAGGAATGTAGTATTGATGGCATATCTTAAATAGTCTCTGTTAAATCTAATTACTGGTGATTTTCTGTAAATTCAGAAATTATTGCGTGCATTTATTATTGCAATTTTTGAAGAATGAACAAAAATGCGTTTTTAATATTGCGATTTTAAGAAAAGCTACACAAAGTTATATGTACAAGATATCAGAATGCGAGTTCTTATTATTGCGATACTCAAGGAGTTGCATTATTCACAATAATAAAAACCTCGCAATAATTTCTGAATTTACAGTATATCATTTAGGTATTAAAATTGAGAATGGAAATGGGGAATATGTCAAAGAGACCACAACCCGACCAAAGAGCAGACAATAGCCGTAGGCCACAATGGGTCTTCAATGCAGCGAGAAGATCCCGCACCAGGAGGTGCCTTCCAATATATACACCTGTTTATTGTTGAAGAACATATGTTGACCTGTATATGTCTTGGTTTTTGTATCATTGGGTTCTGTCTCATTGATGTATACCCAATATATCCAATTATTCAAACGCTCTCTAGAATTGGATGACAACAGGAGCAATGCCATAGATGTGCATGTTTATCTACACACATATTTAGTTTGTAGGCTATCATTTGATATGAATTGACGTCATATCAATGGACAAGTTTTCTTGGTGAGGGTGGCAGTGATGCTACAGTCATAAATCTAAATAACTGGAACCGAGCTTTTTATTGTTTTGAGCTTGGACATATCAATAAAAATGTCCAAAGAGTCACTGGGTAAACAGAAATAGACCTACATATCTTGATCTGAGATATGCAAGTGCTCACAAGATGCCACACACACAGATATCCATACCTTATCGGAGATTTTAATATGTTCATGCCTGTGGTCAAAATATATTAGAGGACTTTTCTGATTATGTGCCTTAAAAACTATGTTTCATTACAGCATAAGAGTCACAGAGTTAAACATGATGGGTTATTTGATATCAATGACTGAAAATGTCAAACTGAATCATTAAAAAACATCTCAATGAACATGCACAGTGATATCATGAAAAAGAGTAACAAATGAAACACAATAAATGTATCCATACCTTTTGAGAGCCCATACTGCTTTGTATGAGTGGCATATCAATGGACATAGACTCTGGAGACGTTGGTGATGGTGGTGACGGTGGCAGATCAGGAATCTTTGAATAGATTTCATCGTCTGAGTCAGGTGACTGAGATGTCTTAGAACTAGGTCTTATCATTGGCTAGAAAAAAAAAAAAAATTTTCTTGCAGATGATGGAAAATAATAAATTAATGCTGTAGTAAATAAACAGTCTTGTATTATTTAAGTTATAAGTTCTTACTTTTCAAATACAAATTTTAACATACTGTGAAATTACTTGCATAATGCAAGTTCAAATTTTATGGATTCAAGGTAAAAATATTAAAACATTCTTAATTCCCATATATGGATAAGTATAATGGTTTCTACTTTCTACTGTCACAATTCTAGTAATAAATCTTTTAGTATTTAAACAAGAGTGCACACGCTGAAATGTCTCGCCTTCTTTACTAATCATTGATATTATGTTCATAGTCCTAAATATAAAGCTTTCTTACAACTGTCACATAAACGTAACATTAACCAAGAAAACTAAGCATTGACCAATGAACCATGAAAATGAGGTCAAGGTCAGATGAACCATGCCAGGCAGGAATGTACAGCTAACAATTCTTCCATACAACAAATATAGTTGACTTATTGCTTATAGTTTAAGAAAAACAGACCAAAACACAAAACTTAACACTGAGCAATGAACTGTGAAAATGAGGTCAAGGTCAAATAAAAACTGCGCAACTGACATAAAGATCATAAAATATTTCCAAACACCAAATATAGTTGACCTATGGCATATAGTATTAGAAAAAAAGACCAAAACTCAAAATCTTAACTATGACCACTGAACCATGAAAATGAGGTCAAGGTCAAATGACACCTGCCAGCTAGACATGTACACCTTACAATCATTCCATACACCAAATATAGTTGACCTGTTGCTTAAAGTGTAAGAAAAACAGACCAAAACACAAAAACTTAACATAAGCAATGAACCATGAAAATGAGGTTAAGGTCAATTAAAACCTGCCAGACTGACATGTACATCAATAAATATTTCCATACACCAAATATAGTTGACCTACTGCATACAGTATTAGGAAAACAGACCAAAACACAAAAACTTAACATTTAGAAATGAACCTTGAAAATGAGGTCAAGGTCAAATAAAACATGCCAGACTGACATGTACATCGTAAAATATTTCCATACACCAAATATAGTTGACCTACTGCATACAGTATTAGAAAAACAAACCAAAACACAAAAACTTAACATAGAGCAATGAACCGTAAAAATGAGGTCAAGGTCAAATAAAACTTGCCAGACAGACATGAACATCGTACAATATTTCCATACACCAAATACAGTTGACCTATTGCAAACAGTATTAGAAAAACAGACCAAAACACAAATACTAAACTATGACCACTGAACCATGAAAATGAGGTCAAGGTCAGATGACACCTGCCAGTTTGACATGTACCCCTTACTTTCATTACATACACCAAATATAGTAGACCTATTGCTTATAGTATCTCAGATATGGACTTGACCACGAAAACTTAACCTTGTTCACTGATCCATGAAATGAGGTCGAGGTCAAGTGAAAACTATCTGACGGGCATGAGGACCTTGCAAGGTACGCACATACCAAATATAGTTATCCTGTTACTTATAATAAGAGAGAATTTAACATTCCAAAAAATCTGAACTTTTTTTTCAAGTAGTCACTGAACCATGAAAATGATGTCAAGGACATTGGACATGTGACTGACGGAAACTTCGTAACATGAGGCATCTATATACAAAGTATGAAGCATCCAGGACTTCCACCTTCTAAAATATAAAACTTTTAAGAAGTTAGCCGCTGCTGCCGGATCACTATCCCTATGTCGAGCTTTCTGCGACAAAAGTCGCAGGCTCGACAAAAAAACACTGGTCAAGTCCAAAAATGAAGATGCAAACTCTATGCCATAACATAAATGTACCAATTTCACTGCACCAGATGTGCAAGCAACAATTGAAGCCTCTTAAGTGATGTTTGGTGCCAAAATATTTGAAAATCCAAAACAATCCAACATTATCAAATGAAACAAAAACTTATGTTAAGGTAACATAAGCCAAAAGGGCAGAAGGAAGCAGAGCTTTGCATATGTAAGCCAGAAAATTCCTTGAATATTCAAGCTCCAAGATAAAGATCAGAATATCTTGTATGGGTTAAAAATACTCTGATGCATTTAGTATATATGACCTTAGAAATAAAAGTTTACGCATTAAACATAATTTGAAATTACTTTTATTGGTAAACTTAATTTTCGTGGTTTCAGGGAAAAATGTCAACACATTTTTAATCCAAATAAATTTATGGGTAAGCATTAAATGTGGCTACAACATAGACAAATTCAACTTGCAACCTTTGGGTGAGGTTTGACCTTACATCTCATATAAAATGACCTGTTACCTTTAAAAATGTTTAAAACCGAGAATCAGATCAGCTGGGAACTGTAGTTTGCTTAAAAGTGACCTGGTAACATAAGGCAATTTTTAAATGTGACCTTGAACCCCCTAAATACATGGTTGAAAATTCATGAACAATTTAATCTTAAAATAGCAGTAAATTGGATAAAGATGATTTTTCTCATCAATATTATAAGCTTTAACAGCTGCATCATGAATCAATAACTATACGTCTAATAATAAAAGAATTGTAATGCACAAATCCTGACCAACAATTAAAGAAATCCACTTTCTAGTGCAACAGAATAATACAGTGTCAGGTTTAAATATATATTATCACAACCCTTCTTCCATTGTGCATGTTTCATAATAGGGAACAGCATTTCCTACAAACTGTATACCAGGAAATTGTCATTGCATGTCTCTTTATTTCTATAACTAGAATTTTATTTGCCGAATTTTTCTTTCATTTCTTTTAAATGTAGATTATTCTTATTTTCAATATCTTCTGAAAGTGCAGTTTTTGCAAACACCTGCATCAAACATAAATCTTCCATGATTATTTCCAAGTATATAGTTTAAAGCAAAATGTATATATGTCTAGCTACTAAAACACATCTATTTCTACAAACACCTTTACCAAAACAACACAAGTATACCGGCCATTGTAACAATACCTTTATTTTGAAATAAAGAAAGGGAAGGAAGGGAACAGGTTCATGCATTTAAAAGGCCAAACATGGTAAATTTCTAGATTCACATTCCAAAAATTTAAACTTTGGTATCAGCACTATCCTATCTTTTTTTAAATGAACACTTCTCATGTAAAAAAAAAAAAAAAAAAACTGTCAAAAGTATCTAGAAATTTCTATGACCTTAACAGAACATGCAATTTTTACCCATGCATAAGGACTTTAACTTGAAGAACAGGATATGAAAGGAAAACAGAATTGATGATTCACTTACAATGGGAGGCAATGGAACGTTGGGTAAATCTATATCATATGGCTTGAACTGTTCCTTAACTTCGGCAGCGCATCTCCTGAAAATAATGTGAAAGTTAAATATGTGCTGTCAAGCAAAAGCCTATGCACTTACAATATGAGGCAATGGAACCCTTTGTAAACTGAGTAAATCGTCTGCTTCATTTTGAGGATCTTTCGCTTCTTTTTTATAACATCTAAAAATTACGTTGGGTAAAATGATGTCATATGGTTTGTGTGCACTCTTACATCTTCTGAAAATAATATCATGAAAGAAAAACATTTATACACTTCAGATTACAAAAAGCCCTAAGACTCTCTCAAAAGGTCAGAGTATAAACAGATTAAAGATCTGAAAAAAACTAGTTCAATCCCACCAATTGTTTGTAAGATTGTCCAAAGTCAGTGGTTGTTTTAAGTTATGTTTTTTTTGTAAGGGAGCTACCATTTGATTTTTATGGGGGGCTAGGATGAAAAATTTTGTCCTCCCTTTTTTTTTAGTTGTAATCTCTATCCTGCCTTTTTATTTTCCACTCTATTCGGTCCTGCCCTTTTTTTTTAGTTTATCCTGACTTTTTTTTACCTAAATTGTCATTTTGACTTTTTTTTTTTACAAGTGTCTCATCCTGCCTTTTTTTTTATTCAAAACTCCTGTCATGCCTATTTTTTTCAAATTTCATCCTAGGCCCCCTCCCCATAAAAATCAAATGGTATCCCTCATTTAGAAAATTTCAGCTCTTTGATAATCTCTGTTAAATTATTCACAACTCTTTCAGGCAATTTAGAAATTGATATGTTGTAGAGAAAGTATGTTGACCCCTAAATTTCAATTGGTTTTTGAGTCATTGGGATGTTGTCTCTTTGACTTATGACCCCACATCTCATTTTATTCATCAAATCATTTGTACATTTGCAAGTGCACTTTCAATATCAAAAACATATCAACAACTAGGAAGATAAATTTGATTAAGGACCCATAATAAGAAATGTTGGTTAAATGACAAAATATTACAGATAAAAAGATGCTTTATAAAAAGAAACCAAAGAAAAATTAAGCAAGATAGACCATTCTAAATATTTTTTTTTGCTAAATCATTAAAATAAACAGAATTTCCCACAATCGTTTTAATTTGTACAGAGAATATCTAAGTTCAAAATGACACTTTTAATAAATTACTGTTGCATGTACTAGGTGACCAAGGTAAACATGCTAAAAGCATTGTTTTAATTCTTTTCTTTTCATCCTTCCATTGATGTTGTGCAAAGGAAAGGAAATATTAAATACAGAATAAATTTAGGATGGCCTAAGTTATCCCTCTTTTACTGTAAAAATAATACTCATTAGGTACCTATCTCCATTGATTGTAACTAAAACCAAACATTTTTAAGCATAAAACCATGCATGTACTAAATGATTTCTTGCAAGAAGACAATACTAAATGTATAGCTTGGCCAGCAACTTATCACTTTGATTTACATTTTATCAAAAGCTATTATATCTCTAATGTGTAAGGTGAGACAACTAGATTCAGGTGACCTTTGCACTTGAGCAATTTTGGTTTAATAACTGGAAATTTTTTAAATAGCTCTTTGTCAAATTTAAATATAACTGACCATTTGCCAAATTTTTTGTCAAAATGTCAATGGTTTCAAGTGTAAGGTTTCAATCTAAATTGACTTTTGCAAATAAAATATAAGGTTCTCCCACTAGCGGATAAAAAGTCTTTATGGTGGATGCGAAACCTCAGGATTACAGTTTATAAAATGTTTTGAAAATATTGGGTAAAATGGTATGCGATTCTTACTTGTGAAGTAGGTAGATTTTCTCCTGAAAAGTTGTACATATTTAAGATTCATTCTGAAGTTGGATAAAAAGCAAGAACTTTTCCCGTACTTTAAAGCAAATTCTCAAAATATACAAATAAATAAAATTGAAAGGTACTTTATAAATAGAGTTTATGCTAAGAATTTACAACAATTACTACTTAATTAGACTCATAGGAAATAAGAGAAGTTGTTGAAACACAGGCAGAAATTTAAGCCGTTTTCATTCAAATTACACTGAAAAAAGAAAATGGTTAAAATTGTCAGGGGAGGCAACTCCTTTCACAAGCATACAAAGAAATAAAGAGAATGTTAATACTTTTATGACTTTGTAAATGACATTTCATTCATCTTATGAAAAATAAAAACAAGAATGTGTCCATAGTGCACAGATGCCCCACTCGCACTATCATTTTCTATGTTCAGTGGACCGTGAAATTGGGGTCAAAACTTTAATTTGGCATTAAAATTAGAAAGATCATATCAAAGGGAACATGTGTACTAAGTTTCAAGTTGATTGGACTTCAACTTCATCAAAAATACCTAGACCAAAAACAGACAGACGGACGGACGAACGAACGAACGAATGGACAGACACACAGACCAGAAAACATAATGCCCCTACTACTATTGTAGGTGGGGCATAAAAAGATCTGCAATCATTTATCCCAAACCAGAGATAATATTATTAGACATACCTGAAAACACATATGAATCCAATCAAAGCTAAAATAACAACAAGCAGAATAGATATGGCAATGCCGGCTATTTCATCTGTTGTCAAGGAGATACCTAAAACACAAAAAAACATAATTTTAATTAAAAAAGAAACATAACATATTTTTGTTAAGGTACATTGAAAAGATAGAAAAGAAAATACTACTTATTAAGGAAAAGGTATAAATTCTTAAACTTTGATTTTGTTTTCATAAGACGCATGGTTTATGCACACAAGCTATGTAGTAAAAAAGATCAGTACAAATATTCCAAAAAAAAAGAATGATGGAGTCCAGGAGGGAAGTTTTATTATAGAATTTGATCATTTATGGTTTTATGTCCACATGACTTATGGAAAATTATAAAAAGAATGTATGCTTGATATTGGTGGACTTTGGAAGTCCCTTCTTACCCCTCCATAATTTATAATCAAATAGCCCTGACCAAAGTTGATGATGATGACTTACCAGTAACTGGAATTGTTGTGTAGACTGGATCAGATTCTGGACCCAAGCCACCGCTAGTCTTAGCCTGAACCCAAACTCTATATGTAGCTTTAGGTGACATGTCTTTAAGAACTACACTGGTATCATGTCCATTTACATTTACGAATTGGTATGTTCCTATAATATAATATATCATAATATAGATTATGGTTGCTGTAAGTATCAAATCTTTCCTTGAATATTACAATAAAATCCTGAAAATATTTCTAGGGTGTTGTTACATTTTTAATTTGTAAATATGATCTTTATAATTAAGCCTTCTTTTGATGGATTGATTGTTGGTGTTGTAACGCCACTTTTAAGCGCCACTTTTGGTCTAAGCCTTCTTTTGAGGCATTAACAAAATATTTCATTAGAATTTCATGTAAGATGTTACAAATTTTCAAGTTAAAAACTAAATGTATGAAACTAAAAAATTTTAAGTATCAACTTATGTAATTTACTTAATTTATTTGTTGCGGTATAAATGGGGAATACACAAATATAAAAAAGGGAAGATGGTACCAAGAGGGTCAACAACAATCTCAAGTTGAAGAAAGACAAACAAAACTATGGCCTAAGGAAAAAGACTAACACTACACAGAAAACCAAAAGATTGAGCATCAAGATCCCCCTCCCTGTAAGATGCTCTTAAAAGTACATTTTTATCCATAATTAATAAAAGGACTTACCACTACAATTTAGACCAGTCACTGACTCACAATAAAACACAGTAAACTTTGTTATATATCCAGTCATTTCTGTACATCTAAATTTATCCCATTCTACTTGAACATTGTTTTCCTCTACCAATGATAATACTCGTACATTCTTGGGAGCCAATGGAGGTCCTGCAATTAAATTTGAATTTATGTAAAAAGAGAAGTTACAATGATGCTATAATATCCATTACAAGTTCTAAATCTAAATTTGTTCTGATATAAATATACACTTAAAATGTGTTTGAATACTGTACATGTTGATTCAATAAAAAATCCCTTTCGGTGGTGATTTTTCCCACAATGAATACTGCTGATCAATATTGGTGATTTACACTGAAATGTGTAAATAACAAAGTTGAAAATCAAGATTGTTATCACATTAATTCTACCCATTCATCTTGCTTCATTGATTCATTCTACATTGACTAAGAGTGATTTTCAACTGAATTACTTTGTGTGTACAGAACAAAAAAAAAGAAAATACAAGATGTGGTTTGCATTCTACACACAATATAAATGTTAATTTTCTATCTCTTTATTATTTAATTAATCTAGGAAAGATACATTAGTTTATTTAAATACTTGTTTTTTTGTATTTTTTTTACATAATATAGACAAAGAAAGTCTTGCATTTGATAAGTTACAAAACCACATTATGTAAATATTCTATAAGCTGTATTGCTTTTGAATAAAGTATTATTATAATGTTACTTATGTGTGTACTGACGTGTACACCTCTACTCACTTTCATTTTGCATAAAAATACATTCATTCCACAAAATACCACTGCTGACAGTTTCTCCTGTAGGATGAACAGTTTCCATGGAGATACCAAATATTAAACTACGCATTTCATCTTTATTGACAGTTCTTGTATATTTTCTCTGGTTTCCTTTCAAAACAGCCCACTTAATAGGTTCCTGCAAAAAGAGAGAAAAGTAAACCCTTTTATAAAATTCAGAGTTGACAGGAAATCTTACTCAATATGGGTGTCTGAGATTTCTAAGTCTTTTGCATTGCTGCTGGTATTTGATTTTCTTCATTTTTTAATTGTTATGTCTGAAAGAAATTTGTTTTACAAATTCCATAGAAGATATTTTTGTGCACTTAGTCCCAAAGATGAAAATTTTTGTATTTCTGTTTGAGAAGGCCCTGTTGATCTAATATTCCAAATGTTTTATGCTAACTGCCGTTTTTTTTATGTCTGAGTATACTAAAATTTTTGATCCACAAACCAGCTTTGTTTCAATCTGAGTTAAGCCCTTTGCAACTGGTTTTTATAGTTTGTTATGTTGTACTGTTACACTGCTGTCCCAAGTAAGGGGAGGGTTGGCGTTTTCACACGTTTAACCCGCCACATTCTTTATGTGACTGTCCGAAGACAGGAGCCTGTAGTTCAGTGGTTGTCATTGGTTCATGTCTGTCATATTTGTTTTTCGTAAATTGTTTTGTTATTAAATAGGCCTTTAGTTTTCTCAATTGAATTGTTTCATATTTTTCGTGTCGGGGTCTTTTATAGCCGACTATACGGTATGGGTTTTTCTCATTGTTGAAGGCTGTACTGTTGCCTATAATTGCTTACATCCACTTCATTTGAACTTTGGTGGATAGCTGTCTCATGGGCAATCATACCACATCTCCTTATTTTCATATTCATGTTTAATACTAAGTGCCTTTGATATTCAACTATAATACTATTGATTTATCATGATGTATGTGATATTTATCTTTGAAGATTTCACGGGTAAAGGCTAACTAAGTATTTAATCAATCAACAAAATACAAAATTTCCAAGGCCTGTCCCAAAATTTATTGGGTGGGGGATGGTATGCCCTCAAATTAATTCAATATGGGTGGTCACATTCAGCCCATATTAGGTTTATATGCAAACTTTGTTAATACCAGGAAATTAAAGTATCAAAGAAAGAGCAATTTTCCCTCAATCCACAAAAACTGGATGCCATAAAAATAAATGAATCCCTGATATGTAGTATAATCAAAATCCTTTACAAAAACTCACCAGACAAGTGTAATCACTATTAGAACCTTTACACCAAAACAGTGTATAACCAAGTATTCGTTGTGCTGTCTTTGGTTGGCGCCATTTTATATGTAAACGAAAAAGATTATTGGTATATGTGGCCGCCTGCTCTGCCTCAACTAGAAAATGATCTGGGTATGGTGGTTCTGAAATAAAATATAAAATAATGATTAAAATAAATCTACCTTATGATTTAATTGTAAAAACAAATGATATCAATTATATAATATAAAGATTTAATTTAGCTGACAGACATTAGTAAGGCATACTTTAATTGCTCAAAATTCCACATTTCAATAAGACTGCAGCAATAAAACAGTTGTTCCTTCTATCATGTGTATTTTTCTACCAACATTTGTTACAGTTATTTCAAGCTAATATTGCCATTGAATGGTAAGCAAATGACAATCAATCAATCAATCAATCTCAAGGTCGTTATTTTTTTTCCATCACAGATGATTTGCTGTACTGAAAATTAAGAAACTTTTACATGCATTTAATATTGCCATTGATGGACAAAACAGTGGACAAAAATGCAAAGATTGATCGTTCCCTACTCAAGAATTGGTGCATAGTATTTCAAATAATGCTTTCAAAATTTTAAAAGGTTAAAGTATCTTTTTATAAGACAGCCCTTATAACAGTTCTTATCTTTGACATTTGTGTGTTTTTACTGTGCATGTACTGGTTTTGTGTCATGGATGGATACTCAATATCAAGTTTATAATAACAGGATAGAAATGGATGGAAAAAAAATAGTGATATTTTGTTATGGTTTTGCATGTGTTAAGTAGTAACAGGTTTCATTTTTCCATTAATGACTTCAATCATAACATACTTCTATCTTTTCCAAGAATAAGAATGCTGGCTCTGTGTGGTGATAATCCTTTCTTCGTCTCTCCTTGGATATCAACAAGATAGTCTGTTCCCGACATCAACATCAGTTGTCCTGATGTCTTGGTACCAGTATATATTTCCTCAGGAGATTTTTGTCCGTCAACATCCTGTGATGTAATCTTGTAATTGGATATCTCTCCATTTGTTAGTCTCTCCATAATGGGCTGAAAAGGAAATTTTCAGAAACATATAACTTTTGTTCTGTGAAACTTATAATTTAAATGCCAAGTTTCCAACAAGAGGACATTTTAAGAGTTGTTCCATTAAAACCAACATGGTACACAGGGAAGGCATTTTGAAAATTGAGTAACCATCTATAGAAGCAATTTTAGAATTTCTCTTACACTTTCACTGAAATAAAACACACTACATTAGATGAGATTTTGAAGAGCCCACCCTGGGTCCCATGCATCTTTTTATGAGACAGCCCTTATAACAGTTTTTTTCTTTGACATTTGTGTGTTTTTCACTGTGCATGTACTGATTTAGTGTCATGGATGGATACTCAATATCCTTTGTTTTTTCTATTCCATAAGAACAGTGCAAAAACTTTTAATCAACCAGGGTTTAAGAATTTTTCTCAGAGGGTAAAACTTCTAAAGTCTGTTGAAGACACATCATGACACATTGACTGCTCAAGAGCTTTCTGACAAACACTTTGAATAGGCAAATGCATAATTTATTTAGCTGTTTTTGTACTTGCTTAGAACTTGCTTCTGGTACAGCAAAAATCACTGAAAAAAATCAAAACTTTTCCACTACTAAAACACAATTACTGAGTCTTAAAGAGACTTGTCCATGCAAGCCATTTATCTAATTCAGAATATTGATAAATGATGTATACATTTTGTAAACAATACTAACCCTCCAGTAGACAGAGATGACACGACAATCCTGGAAACTACATGGTTTCTCTACAAAACCTCCAGGCTGTACTTCTGGCGCAGCTCCTGGCACTGTGGGAAAAATACTTAGTTTAAGTGGGAGTATTTTGATGCGAAAATGACTTGATATACAGTAAATAAATCATACCTTGTTTTCTAACATTACAATTGACGCTTTTCACAAGAGTTACAAGATTATTATTCATTAAAATTAACATAGTTTTGAAAAACTGGAAGAATTTTACTACTTTTGCAATTTCACAGGCACAAAATGATACTTTTTATCAACCTTCTCTCAAAAAGTAATTATGATGTTCTGTTTGGTACAGAGTTTGTATTAAGTCATGCTATCTGGACCATGTGTTTTTCATTTTGCTGGCGTTGGTGTGGTCTTATGCAAGTGTTCAATATTTTTAGTAGTTACCATCATTACTTTATGAAAATTTGATTTGTAAAAAGTGTATGTGAAGTTTCATTAAAAGTGAGATTGATTGTTGCTTGCCTAATATTCAGTAGCAATTATAAAATGAAAAAAAAATTAAAATGACCTACCATCATCATCCAATTTAATTGTAGTTTCTACTTCATCACTCCAGTATCCATCCCAAAATGGTTTACATGCTATCTTTACAGTATACTCTGTGTTAGGAACTAAGTTGCAGATGGTCGTCCTATTAATGTCACCTAAATTCAAAACCTATGAAAAAAAGTTTTATAATCATATGGATGATTTTATAATAAGACTGTCCTGCTAGCACCTTTATTTAATATCATGGTCCTTATTAGCGTTAGAACTTTTTTTTGTATTCATTGTCTGCAAATGCAAAAAAATGTCCCAAGGACCAAAAGAGTTACTGTTCCACAGCTAGGTTCTAATATGTGTTTGCATCTATTATATTTTTACCTTTTGTTTACTTAATTTTTCTAAACTTTTCTAAATAAAAATGGAGACCCAGATCAAAACAAGAACTTCAACTTAATAATCATATTTGTTGTTACTGTTCTAAATTTAGTAACTATACAGCTCCAGTGAACACAGCAGACGCAAAAGTCCTACTTAAGAAATCTGGTCCTTTTTCAATAACATTTTAACCAGTGTAAAATTCCTTCAGGTCTCAGACTTTTGGCTACAATGGGCTAACCTAAATTTAAAATAACGACTAAAAGGGACTTTTTTCACAACTTATGTTATTGCAGTGATTTTTAGGATGCTGAACATAATTTTGCTTTCAAATTTTCCCATTTTTTATAGGTCTGGTCTCATGAACATCTACCAAACTTCCCACCTCTTTTTTTAAATTTTCATGTAAAACAAGGGAGACTACTGACTAACCTTCCACGAACTTTCCCATCTAGACTGGTACTGTATCCTATAAATTTTGTCTTCTGTCCTGCTGTGATTCCATTCTAAGTGAAGGCATGTGCTGTTTTGGGAGGCTTTTAAGTCAGAAACACTACTGGGTTTTACTGAAAAAAGAGATACCATTGAAATATTTTTTCGATAAAGACTGTTCAATTACAAAACATAACTGGATAATTGTTTCAGCTACAAATTCATGAAAATTAGACTTAATCAGAATCCACAAACTTTATTGCTTTCATATCTATTTATCATAATCAATACAAGTCACTATCATTAGGGTTAAGAACACTCCCTTTTCGTGTTATGTATTTTTCACTTAAAATGGTTGTAAACAATATTTATTGATTATTATGTGCCAAACGGTTTTAAATATACAACCATATTTGAAATTTCAAACCAGATCAGAATAGTGACTTAAAATTTGGTGTCCAGTTCTTTGTCCATAAAAGAACCCTTGCAACAACTTTTTTGAGGTGGCTTATTGCAAGATTGATTGATTGTTTTTAACACAGTCTTTTCTATTTCATGAAGGCTAGTTTTTATTGGTGGAGAAAGCTGTACACAGAGAGAACCACTGACCCTCAACAGGAAAACTGACAATCATAGTCAATTAAGATCGGAATCTATCCCACCTTCCGACAAGTGGGGTTCAAACTCACAATCTCATTGTTGTCAGGCAAGTGACCATTGCACATGAAACTACCTAGACCACTCTGCCACTGAAGTCCCCCTTTTGCAAGGTATAGTTTCTGTCCCTACTTTGATATGCCCTCTTTTCCAATGGCAACTAAAATGTCTCTCCATTCATCCCAGTCCATTCACATTTTTAACACTTATTCATTCATTGTTAAATTAAATCCTGAATTTGCAATGAAATATTTGTCACTGGACATTATGAAAACAAAATATACATACCTATTTTACTTGTCTGTTCCTGGAATACTTTGGACTTGGTTTCATTTCCTGTTTTATTATTTCTGACAATTATAACCATGTAATACAGCATATCTGGTCGAAAACTATCCAAACCATCATTTGGTTTCCAAGTACACGAGTTCAATGTCTTATGGGGGCAATCATACTGCTGCTCACCTCTGCAAGGGGAAGACAAAAAAATATTTTAAACTACATGATTTTTCTTTGAATAGACCTCTAAATATCTTTTGGTTTTTGGAGTCTTTGGGTTGCTGCCTTAATGAAATACATCCCAAATCTATTATTCATACTAATTAAAGCCAATTCAAATTATTGTGGGTTTATTTTTGTGGATACCAACTTTCGTGGATTGGGGAAAAAATAATATTTTTATGGTTATTTCATTTTCTTGTTTTGTCAAAGTATGCAAAGTCAGGAGCCTATAATTTAGTGGCAATTATAGGTCACTGCACAGCCAACAACAATGAGAAAAACACATACTGTATAGTCAGCTATAAAAGGCCTTGACACTAAAAAATGTGAAAGAATTCAATGAGAAAACTAACCTTATTTGTAAAAATAAAATTTATGGAAAACAAATATGACAGACATGAACCAAAGACAACCATTAAACTCTATACAAAAAATATATAATATATAATACAACTTACTTTACTGTCCATACTAACTGGACATCAATATGGTTTAGATGGACATAATTGACCCCTAGATTCCAGGAACATGTCATACTCTCCCAGTTGTACACTGTACATGTTATATCCTTTATTTGGTTTGGTTCATCTGCATAGGAAAAAAATATAGTAAGTATAATTTCATAACATTATCATGATTTTACATACAATGATATCAGAATAAACATTCAACACTTTCGATACAAGAGGGTCTGGATGGGGTCTTTTATTTCTTTATTCTTTAATTTTTTAGACAATTTTTCTACAATTCTCTATCTATTTTGCCTATTATTCTCTATTCTTTCAATTTTTTGCCCATTTATCTCTCATACCTGCCAACTTTTCAAAATCTCCATGGAGGATTTTAAGTGAAAGAGGAACTGATGCTCCTCTTTTATTGTCATATGTGTTTTAAATCTACTTCTATATTGTTTGAATGAGTATGCATGTGCTTATGTACCCTTTAACTCATTCTAATGCCTGTTTTGAGGTATTCCAAGTCATAAATAAAAGAATTCCAAAATTCAGGTTGAGGCCTTTCATGGGGATATCCCCCATAAATCGGGATAGTTGGCAGGTCTGATCTCTATTCTTTAATTTTTTCACCCTTTATTCTGCTCTTTTTGCCCATCATTCTCTATTCTGTAAACCCCATTCAGACCCTCTTACAATGGACTATTACTGTGACCGTCTGCCAATTAAAAAGATGGTTTCTCATAATGAATTTTAAAAAATGGTGATAATCTGAGTAATGAAAAACAAAATAGTTTTATATCTTAATTGTTGATATCCATCCTTCTTAAAAGTCTGAAATATGTCAGTCCATTGATATACCTTAGACCAATGTTGGGATCTTTTTTTTTTGTTTTGCATCTGTGTTCTGTCAGAATTTTTGATGGTTTGATGGTATAACAGTTACTCGAAAGTGAATGAAAACTGCTTCTGCAGTTTACCCCTATAAACTATCACAGCACACAATAACAAATTTCAATTACTCAAGGAAAAAACTTCCATTTTAACTTCGTAAACATACCTTTTTTGTGACTTTAACTTAGAAATAAATTTCTACAGGTTCACACAAAAAAAAAACCCAAATTAACTATTTTTTATTGTAAAAAAAAATTGTCAGATTTAATGAAATGAATTTAAGACAAGGTTTGACATAATGAATTCATTTTACACAGGTTTAACTATAGCAGGATACATACATTCTACTCTAACAATCTGGTTCCCAACCACTTGAACATTGCCTCTAGTTTTCTTTAGCTTGCACACATAATTTCCTTTGTCACTGGGAGCAATAATCGGCAGAATCAGTTGGATACTACGACTACTTAGTTTTTTTATGTAGTTGCTGTGAATAACGTTGTTACTTTTGGTGAAATAAAGTGATGAGGAATTTTCTGGTACAGCTTCTGTGATGTTACAATACAATCTGAGCTCATGGCCGATGAACACGTATGGGTCGTTTGGAAGAACAACTGTAAAAGAGAACACCAAAGTTAAACAAATGATTAATAGTAAGATAGATAATTTCTTCTTGATCTTTATATATTCAGGCTATTTGGACTTTCCAGAATGGAACGGATTAGAATATGATATGGAGGACTGTTAACAAACATCATTTTCTTTCAGTCTGACTGAAGCCAACCCCACTATCTACTTGTGTTAAGTTTGCCTACAAACGCAAGAAGATAATTAGGGGTTGGCTTTTAAGCCAGACTGATTTTCTTTGATACTTTTTTTTCGTGTTTAGCCCTTTCTAACCAATTTTGCAGCAAATTTATTTTCATAACTTTCTATCTATATTGGTATATATTCATATACAAGAAAATTAAAGTTTGACATAATTGCCTTACTTGTGCAAGTCGCAAATAATTAGTCATTCAGGAAAATTAGTTTGAGTTCAGTATCTAGGATTTTATAAAATTTTCAAATATGGCTTTTTGAACTATATGTAATAAAGTTATGAAAAGAAAAGTAGGAGTTAGCAGGGAAAATCTTTAATGGCACTACATGGATAAAACCAGAGGATTCCAAATATCAGGCAAAATTTTAAAACAAGAGGAGCGAACATCCTTAACTGATTTTTATGGTTCAAAATATGTATAGTGAACAATCTTGAACCATAAACACCAGCTCATTCCTCATTATTGCATTTTTGAAATAAAAGATAAATTTCTATGTCATCCTCATTAGATACTCAATATCATATTCTTTTCCATTCGGACCAGTCCTATTGTGTTCTGAAAAATATCAATAGCAATACATCTATATTAAACTGCCTTTTCCTCAGTTTTATCTAAAGTAAATAAAATTCACTTCCTCAGTGAAGTTTCAATTAGGATAAAGGCTAAACAACAAATACTTATTATTTTTATTACTCATTTCTGCTACCACAAAATGTCTGACTTTTTCTAGAATCTAAAGTGCAATAGTTTTGTGTTATGAAACACATTTTCAGAGCTGTTTACATGATCTTTTACTTTAGAAATAAAGGAGTGTTGTGAAGTTTCCGATGTTGACAAATGGTTAAAGTGACACAAACATCAACAAAGCATCAATTTAGTGCTTCATATAAAATGTACACTTTACTTTCAAGGTTATTTGTTTTCAATCCTCTTTCAAGTTCAGATTCTGCATCCAGTTCAATAATTAATACAATAAGTCTGTGTTGAATGTATTGAAGCTAAACAATATTAAAAGTGTTAAGACCGCATATGTGACTTACAAATAAATGGTTATAACCCAATACAAGACTTTTTTTCAATATCACATACAATGTATGTCTCTATGACAACATGAGAACAAATAGACTCAAATACACAGAATTTATTTACAAACAATGTAAATGGTTATAAATTATTTTGAATTTACCATAAACTTTAAAATGCATAAGCATGATTTAATAATATCATGAATATGAATTAAATGAAAATGATTTGTAAATTTTTTATAAACCTGATGATGGAAAACGCGTGTTAGTGAAAAATTCCATCTCAGCTTCATACAAAATGGGCTACGAGAATGCTTTAAAAATTTGCTCCTGAGTTTCATACAAAATGTGCTAGTCAATTCATTTAAAAAATTGCTCATGACCTTCATAAAAAATATGCCACAATTATTTCGAAAATCAACACTTATATAAATCATGCTTGAGCTTTATACAAGATGTGCTATGTCAATGCTTCAGTGAGCCTGATACAAACTGTGCTTTGGTCATAACTTTTATAATTTGCTCATGTCAGCTACATGTAAAACATGCTACGGTCCACATATATATAAATTGCTCATGAGCTACATGGAAAACCTGCTACGGTCCACACATTTATAAATTTCTCCTGAACCTTATACAAAATGTTAGATACAGTCAATGCTATTACATTTTTGTACCAGTTCAAAAACAAATCTAAACTCAATTTTACATGAAGAAAAAAAACATATATAACTACCTCCAGGATAAGTGAAAAATCCTTTAACTGTCTGCAAAATCAGGAAAATACTCAGCCACAATATCTTTATCATCTTGTGATCTTATCATGGCAGCATTTGTCTGAAAAACAAATATATGTTATATATTCTACATGTATGTTGAACTTCATTTAACACCTACATGTATATGCTATAAGTGTGAAAGATTTGAATTCCTGTGAATTTATGTCACTTTTCAGTGTCAGCTGAAAGCCTGTACTGTTTCCATTTCGCAATAATAACATGTTGCTCTTTTCATCAAAATATTTTGTTGTCACACCGATTTTGACAAAACATCTCTTTTACTAATTGATACATATACATGTATTCATTTTGGTAATTTATATTGTAGGCCATTTCCTATGAACCGTTGGAACCTGTGGGTCAAGTTTGCTCCCCTTTGTCTTTAATCTACAGTAACATTCCTGCCTCTTAACAGTACCTTCACATAGGTAAAGTCTTTCTTATGAATGAGCCCTTCTTATTGGCCCATTAAGACCATGAATGTTAAGTTATTCTTTACTACCACAAATAAGCAAATAATGTGTTTCAGAATATATATACTCTCTACATAAAACCTTTCAGATAAATAGAGATAAAAACACACAGAGCTATATGGTATGTCTAAAACTGGAAAAATTTTATGATTTTATATAAAAGAAATCCTTCTTTAACACATATTTACATTCTTCATAAGGTGCTGGCTGTATATAAATGTATTCAGACAAAAACAAATTTGTGATCAAAATTAGATTTGTTCTACATCTGCCTACCAACCCTATTTTTTTATAAGATTAAAACCTAAACATGCTAAAAAAAAAATACTTTTACATAAAAGTCAATCCCAGAATAACTGAACCTGTTGTTAAAAGTGTTACATGATGATGTGTCAATTTGCTCTCCCAAAGTTTCTGTCAGACAATTTTATTGACATTTATCAGATTTTTTTTTTTTTTGTATATTAAGAAAAGTTGTTTTGGCTGCTCGGTCATTGACTGCCTAGTTCAGGTCCCTTTTAGCTTTAATGTTTCTTTTGCTTCCAAAACTTTTGGTGCTATTTGCACTGAAATCAGTAGTATGTGTATAAATCACTGTAAATAATTTAACTTGTTCAGCCCTCGGTTTTTGGTGGGGTCTGCGTTGCTCGATTCCTTAGTTTTCCCAGGGCTTGCTTGTCTTTTCATTTTTTGTCATGGCGTTGTCAGTTTTTCTTAGAATTTGAGATTTGAATGTCCCCTTTGTTTCTTCAGCCTCTTTTTTGTTAAAAAGTAACAGTGTCCTAGCTATAACCCTAAATAGGGGCTGATCTCCGTCTTTTCAGTTTCTATGCTCCCATATAGACACATGTAGCTCTTTTAATTATTTTAGAGACTTCGTAAATTCTAATTTTACTATGTGCATTGGAAATTATTGGTAATTTAAAGAAGTAAGGTGGTCACATAGGGAAATTCTTAGTTTATTGAGGAATTTATGAACTGAGAAAATAAAAATCAAATATTGACAAAAATTGATTATTTTTTAAACTTAAGCTCTATATCTACTTCCTGAAAGCTGTTATCTAAATAATATCTCTTTTAAATGATGCCACCTAACTGTGGATTAATTAGACTTTAAAACTAAATTAAATGAAACTACTAAAAATTATATTTATGAAAATGTGATTTTTAATTTACTTTCCAGTGTAATATTCATTTTGTACATTTGTACTTTTGATGTCAGTGTGCTTATTTATAATATTAAAATGATACTATAAATACAAATCCATCACTTATGAAAATGAAAAATAAAATGAGGACAAAATTGCTGACCTTTTACTTAAGTGACCATTACAATAAATTATTTATGGAGGACCACTGAAAGGAAATTTGCACCTGGCAGTTGACTAATCACATGTTGTCCTTTACACCTGAATGAATGATGGGTTGTATATTTCTGGTTTAACATCAGAGGCCTCTCATTTGTAAACCTTTTGTATGTGGTAAGGGTCAGATCAGACAATGAACCTTATCCTATTATGTTGGTTTGTACAAAAATTATGTTCTTTTTATGCCCTTACTGAACATATTAGAATCTTTTATGATCAGACAGGAATATAAATGCAAGCTTAACAAAAATGGTACAATAAAAGAAGTCAAAGTCTATTACTTAAATTTCCCTAAAATTTTATTCCCTTTTGTAAAAATCTCCAACTTTCAAGTAAGGTTCAAGTATTAAAATCAAAATTGGAGAATATATTAAATCTTTATCAGCAAAAGATACATTTGTAAGTGTTACCGGAGATAGACATAATAACATATTATAAACTGCTGTGGCAAACGAAATTGGGATATAAAAAGTCCTCCTGAACAATTTTTACACAATTTCCGTTTTAAAATAGTGAGAGCCTTTCATTCAAAGTCAAAATTTATAACATTGACTATGTTGAAGTCAAATTCATGTATTAATACGAAAACAAAATTGACCATTTAAGGAATTCATTCAGAAAAAAATTGATAGTACATGCAGGTAAATTAAATTGAGTTGTCTCCCTTTAATGACAGTTTGCATTGAAAAACTTTATAAAAATTATTTTGAGCTATTTCTTGGATAACAATATAATTAAGGGAAAACAAAGTCAATTCAATCACTATTATGTTGATACAAAACAGCTGTTTTCATTATAAGTAAAACTTATAAATAAATAAATATAAAATAAAATATAAGAGATATTTAAGATGAATTCTTGGTAGTATATATCAGCATTTTGTGTGTATTAACTATTTTAGTCTAGACGGCATCTAATTAACCATGGAGGTGACCTCAAAAACTGCTGATTGTCATATAACCCCAATATAAACATAAACATAGATATAAATAGATTGTGAACTCATGCAATTGAATTTTTCTAGGTCTGTTTGTTTTCATATTATAGGTTAAAAAAAAATGTTAATAATCGTTTTTTACCTGTATAAGAACGAGTTTTTCTAGATCGAACCAGTCAACCAAATGGTTTACCCTTGTTTCATACTCAATGTTTACATTCTTTTCCATTCAATATACAGAACATGCCTAGTTCATGTGTAACCCATCTCTAGCTATAGGGATCAATTCAAGTTCACATGAATACGGATTCAATGAGGTCCAATTATCCACTTGCAAGTGAATAATTTATTAGCAATGTTTCTTTGCTTAATTTGACAAAACTGAGCCAAACTGGCTGTTAAAATCGAATTATCATTTCACTTTCATTAATGATTGAGCAAAAAAAAAAAATCATGTTTTATTTTTTTTTTATATCTCGTAGCTAATGCTCCTTTAAGGGCATACGATACAGTTTTGATCCCATATTGAAATTTTGATGAAAATTTGCATATAGGCTATTTTTTACCTGATTAAATCAAATATGTAATAAAAAATATACCATCATGTGCTACTTTTTGAGTAAATTGAGGTTGAAATTTCAGATATTTCCTCAAAATTCGGATTTGTGGACGTATTTTTCCTTTCGACAGAAATATATAACTTTTTTGTTTTAAAAGATAAACACAAGCTGTTTTTTGTTAAATTATTTGTAATTTCTGTTTTATATAAATGTTCTATAAATTTGTACATTTTATTTTTACAAATAACATATATTTATCAAATGTTCATGAATGTAGAAAAAAACGTCATTTTTTGCTGTATATTTATCAAATTAAAAATAATTGCACTATTGACTTTTTCATGAAAATTGGTACACATAATCTTCATACGTAATCAAACCAAATGTCATTTTAAAAAAGAGGGGTCCATGAACTCGTTTTCAAGTTAAATCAGTTTGAATGATAAAAATCAGTCAAAAACTGCATCTTTTCCCGATAAGTCACAGTTTGACGTCGCGAAAAATAACAATTTACGTTAGCAACGTCATTACCTCCCCTGTAACTGTATCGTATGCCCTTAACAGTTCTGATGAGACACATCAAAACTCTCTCAAAAAAGGCCATGTAATTACTTTTATAATTTCTAAAAATTCATTACTTAAAAAAAAATAAATAAATGTCCTCATTCTTAAAAGAATAATTTGACCGACTATTCTTTATTAATTCACCAATGTAAAATTTATTTTTACAAGTAAATCATTGTTATTTAAGATCTTGCGATAACCTGCATTTTATAGTCAAAACAAAAACAAATGAATGCATAGTAAAAAAAGCATAATAAATATATTTACCTTGGTTATAAAAAACTATTGACAGATTGGCCTTTTGATATAATTCAGAGTTTAGTCAGATGATTGACAATTGATTGACAGGAAATACAGGTGTTACATGTTTACCTGTACAGGAATGCAGGTAACAGATGTAGATGATACAAAATCTATAATTTGCATGATTCAGAAACAGGGCTGATGTCATTTGCAGGGAAAAAATTATCTTTTAAGTATTGACTTGAAATTCAAGGTTGTTTAAGCAAACAATTTGCAGCTTGTAGGCACAATTTCAAGTAACAATTAATGATTAACATCAGATGGTAGATTGTATACTTTAAAGAAAATGTTTTTAAACTTTAGAACATGTTGAAGGTAAAGCACTTCCATTTAATTATCTGCTTCAGCTTCAAGCTATTTGTATAGACATTACCTAATACACATAAAACATCCTCTCCCATGTATCAAATCCTCATTAGACCCACTTCTGCTTTTAAAATTTCTACATAACTGTTATTTTAATAACAGTAAATACAATTACACCCAAGAATTACAACTCACACAAATCGCAATTGGTGAAAAAGGATTGAAATAATAATTAAATTTCCAATGCAATAGCTAGAACCAAAAGATCAAAGGACAAAAGGAAAAATTAACTTATTTGCATAACAATATGATTAAAATCATATTGCTTGCACCTGCTCAAATAGTGTCAGGTTTTTCTTTTTCCATTTTGATTTGATAAAAAATGTATCAAATATTTGCCACTGGACATAAAGCAAACAATAAAAATCTATTTTGAAATTTAAACTTAAGACTACCTGAATTAAAATATATAACGAAAGAGAAATTTTGTAAGATTACATTCTGTTTGGTTATCAAAACTTTATTTGTTTAAGGTGTAACTTTCCTTCTAACTTCTCCCTACCAGATACAATTTCATTTATTTGATTTTAATGAATGTATTTACAGTAACCCAGGTCCAAATGATAACCATTTTTTCTCTGCTATGAAAGATTATAGTATTACAAGAATTTTGCATTCTTAAACGTTCAACTTGGGCATGTTTGTATCCCATATATAATTTATTTCAAAGTTATGACATATTATATGATGATAATGCTTTCTTAACAATTGGTTTATGCAGTCAAACAGTCTGTAAGAGGTTTGATTACCAATTACTTTTATATCATCTGCCTATTACATAATACATGATGCTAGATTAAAAACCGATTTCTTCAGCAAGACCTAATTGTGCATAAGGCAACATAAAATTTTGCTTCATCTTAAAACACTTTAAAAATAGCGGTTTGGGGGAAGTTATTTTGCAATGGCTGGCCTGATTTCTAAATCACGAGCAAATATATATAACATGGAAATCAATGTTAAAGTAACACTGGTGTTTCTGTCCAGCAGCAAACTCTTCCCTTTTACAGGACTTGTCTGCTTGAAAGTTAAAATGTATTTATCAGAATCTAAAGGCAAGTCATGTGACAAAGATTTTTTTTTAGATTTCCCTAAAAAAAATTTATGCATTTTAAACTAGTCTCAGTAGTCTGAACCAATTTTAATCAACCTCAGTAAAAGACTGAAGACTTTCTGACTAGTATCAACCTTTTGTATCTGGCTACAGTTGCTGGTGGTTGCTTATACAAAATATCATTCAGAAACTTTTCGTTTCTTTTTATATCACACTTTTCAGTAAATCTACTCTGCGGTTATCATTATCAATTTGGCTATCTAATTTCAATTAAGCAGAACTTACATTCAAATTAAAAGGTCGATAGGGCTTATATTTAACCCTATTGAGCTTTATCAACTGAGCAAGCAACTACAGATTCCCAGAAAATGTACACTAAACCTTATCACTCAAAATTTAGAATTTTTCTGATACTGTTATACATACAGTAGCCTTCAATTATTAATAACTAATGAATTGTGAAATAATAAGTTACCAGTCAATATAATAATCTTATATAACAAAAACTTAATCAAAATATGAAATATTCTACCTAATATTAAAGATTGCATCTTACCAATAAAATGTAATAAATCTCTCCATACAGCACTATATCGACATAGAATATTATACTAGAACAGATGTAAGTCCAAGATTTCAGATACCCTAATAATGAATTATATTAGTACAGCTAGAATATTTTTTTCCTAATCCTTGACACTAAGTATTACTGAATGTATATTTGTATATTCGGTCCAAATTAAAATACAAATCCACCTTGAAACATTAGAAAGTAAACACAACTTGACAATACAGGTATTTATTTCCACTGTGTAATATACATCCCACCTGCCTAAACTAAAATCCAGGTGAAATTTGACCACTGGTCACTCTGTCCAAAGCACTGACTATTACAATCATTAATGAATGACAGTATAACAATGAGAGATCAATAATAACAATATAGGCTCACCACAGGAGATTTAATCAGATCAAGTACTCTGGCGAGGCACTTGAGGGGTGTCTGTCTGGTCTCATGCAGTGGTGTTTAGTATGACCAGTAAATTTCACAAGTGGTTCCTCAAATGTTATTGAAGTTACAGCATAGTTATCCTTTAAATGAGTTTAGTTCACTTCACAGTTGCCTCTTATCATTCAGGTGTGAAAATGTCAGTTTTGTAATTTTCCTTAATTTACCAGATAATGTCCCAGATCTAGATGATGTGATAAAAGTTCCAGGCTACATATGTCCAATCTCTGGTTCAGTCTGGAAGAAAATGGAGAAAAGGTGTTAAAGGTTGAACATTTTAAGGTCACTTCACTTTCGTGACAATAATTTTAGTTCACAATCCCTTTTTATTAAATCCTGCTACCACAAATATCCATCCTGAAAATTAATATTTCTCAACAAAAAAAATATGGTCATTTAAGTTGATATATCTAAAGAGCGTTCACCTTATATGACCAAGCTGCTGTCATACCATAATAAATAACACGCAAAAAAAGGTCAACTTTTGACAAACAACATTTAATTAACACTGTATGTGTTACATCAAATGACAAACTACATGTACATGTAGTATATATATCAGTACAACAGTCCACTTAATAAACTCAATTCTACTTTCTAGTTGTAAACAAAAAATGTCACTCAATTTCCCAGTTTAATTTTAAATTAACCATATACAAATTAAATCGTTTAAAATTACAAAGATAGGCTTTTTAGATGTCAAAATGTTAAAAAGATTTATTTCTCTAAAACCGATGTCACAATATGTGGATATCAAACCTAATTGTTATAACATACATTTCAAATAAAATCAAATTTCAATCTGTAACGAAAACAAAGAAAACGCGACGAGTGTACCAGTTCAACAAAAATGTTGTTACATGGGTAGTGTCTGGGGTTAGTGATACTATCAGTCTGAACATGTAAAACCTTTTGAAAGCTTATAAAACAGGAAAACAATGATTCATATCTTTTATACCAAGTTTGTGTGAAATCTATTTCAATCTTATTTTGTCAAGGTAGAGGATTTTATATCAAAAATTTCTTAAGTAATTATATCAAGAATTTTTTTCACAAATTGTACAGATGAAAAAAATATTTTTAAAACAAATTTTAAGACATCTACAACATACTTTGAATCTGTATGATATATTAAAGTTCCACTCCACTTATGCTTGATGTATGAATTAATATAAACTAAAAAAATGAAATCATTCCTTTATCTAAAATCAAATCTTTTTAAAAATAGATCAATTGCAATACATACTAACATTTAAATGTCTGAAATATATAAACTCCTAAGTGAAGTAACTGACCTTGTTCAGGATTTCCATATTTTAAATTTAGTCAAAAGGAAAAAATAAAACATCATCATATCTAAAATTAAATCTTTTTAAAAATAGATTAATTGCAATACAAACTTACAGCCAAGTTTCCCCTTCCTGATTGCATTAAATGTACATATGTCTAATTAATATTCAAACGCTAATCAAATATGCACCAAAAAATTTCCCTGTATTTAATACACGAACATGTCAATGATTTCATGGAGCAAATGAACTGAATACACACAGACAAGACACAATAACATGCTCATACATAAATCTCTGCATGTCAACGCACTAATTAAGTCCTCCAGGTAGGCTAATTAATCAATAAAGTGCAATCAACATGACTAACGACCCAGGTGACTAATCAAATAGGTTAATTACAAAGTCAAATACATTATCTAAATATACTAATCTCTGTGTAAATTGTAAACTGTTTTATGTTGTAACACCTTGCTGATAACACAATTTCTCGTTATTAACATGATATATTAGCTATTGATAATCAATTAAACAAATTATCAGATTTGTTGCTACAGAAATTAATTTGCTCCGCTATATTTTATTAATAAAACGAACAAAGCAATATGTCTCCAGTTATTTCCTGTGCAATGTTTGTTTTGGACTAATTATTTATTTCTGAAACTCTTGCTTTTGTGTTCATAATGATTTGAAACCAATTATTTCTAATACAAACTGATTTCAAATTGTGAAAGCAGAAAATAATTTTTAAAAACAAAAGACAAATAAGAATTTAAAAATTCGTAAGGGTTCCGCGGAACCCAGTGTCTCGCCTACTTTTTCTGTTAATCGCAGGCTCAACAAAAATGAGGAAGTAAATCAATAAAAATATTCCTCTTGATACTGTCTTTTGATTGTAAGAAGCTTCTGTCCAAGTTTGGTAAAAATCCAGGATAGTTTATGAATCTAATAAATGTTTAAAAACTTTAACTGCAGACTGAATGTAATGTTAACTGGAAGAAAACAAAATTTCCTTCTGGATACTACCATTTGATCATATACAAGCTTCTGTCCAAGTTTGGTACAAATCCAAAATAGTATAAGAAAGTTATTAAAATTTTAAAAACTTTAACCACAGAGTGAATGTGTTGTTTCCTGGCAGAAAATCTAAGTCCATTTAAAAGTAAAATACGGAAAAAATGGATTTATTTTTTTACAAAATGTCCTTCTAGATACTAGCTTTTGATCATAAACAAGCTTCTGTCCAAGTTTGGTACAAATCCAGGATAGTTAAAGAAAGTTATTAAAATTTTAAAAACTTTAACCACAGAGTGAATGTGTTGTTTCCTGACAGAAAATCTAAGTCCATTTAAAAGTAAAATAAGGAAAAAATGGATTTATTTTTTTACAAAATTTACTTCTGGATACTATCTTATGATCATTAACAAGCTTCTGTCCAAGTTTGGTACAAACCCAGGATAGTTTAAGAAAGTTATTAAAATCTTAAAAACTTTAACCACAGAGTGAATGTAATATTTCCCTGGCAGAAAAACTAAGTCCATTTATAAGTAAAATACGGAAAAAATGGAATTTTATTTTTACAAAATTTACTTCTGGATACTATCTTATGATCATAAACAAGCTTCTATCCAAGTTTGGTAGAAATCCAGGATAGTTTAAGAAAGTTATTAAAATTTCAAAAACTTTAACCACAGAGTGAATATTTGTGGACGCCGCCGACGGAATGTAGGATCGCTATGTCTCACTTTTTCGACTAAAGTCGAAGGCTCGACAAAAATGAGGATCCAATCAAATACAAAAATATAGATAATTCAGAGACCAATATAGCTCTGGATAATTCTACAATTAATAAAAACAAGCAAATATTATGCCATCAAAAGGATAAAATTTCATGTCTAGAATAAACTCTAGATCAAAGATATACAACAAAACAGTAGCTCTGGGCCAACAGGTCTTGTTAATACAATTATTGACCAATTCAATTTTAACACATATGGATTCCAGTACTCTTTGATTTTTCACTAATTTTCAATTTATTATTCGAACAAGCTTATACACATACTTTACAGAATATAGCTCTAAGCCTTTGCATCACACCTTTCAATACAAAACTTGTCAGTCAATCGATCTGTCACAAGAAGCTGTTTAATTTAAAGATATATAAGGGATATATCAACATTCTTTTATTTTCTTTGTACAAAATAATTGTTGACTTTGCTACCTTTCTGATATTTCAAGTGGAACCATTGCAGGACAAAAGGCTGTCAACTGGACAATGTGTGAAATTTTTACAATATTACAAAAAGCAAATTCCTATAGATCATGTCATTTTATACTATTTAATCAGTTAATCGGATTATACATAATAATCGTAATTGAATGTGCTATTTTGTTATTGGAGAAGAATACCACTATTTCTTGAACTTCATAATCTGTGTTATGAAATTACTTTCTATTGAGTTGAACTCTTATTTAAGATTTAGAATAACCAATGATTTTTATAGCAGTTTACTATCAAAATTCTTGGAATGAACAAACATTAAACCATTAATGGCTACCAAATTTGATAGAGAAACATTGAATGTTACAATAATGTGTCATAAAATGCAAAAGAAAAGAATAAAAAGCAATTCTGTGAAATTCATTTTTTTTTTAAAAACATAATTCAAAATGAACGAGAATGGGCCTTAATTTACTTTGTCTAACTTAAATTTCAGTTAATTATGAACTTTTAATTTAAGATTTCCATTTATCTCTTGATAAATAAAAATTCGTAAGGGTTCCGCGGAACCCAGTGTCTCGCCTACTTTTGCTGTTAATCGCAGGCTCAACAAAAATGAGGAAAAAAATTAATAAAAATATTCCTCTCTATACTATCTTTTGATTGTAAGTAGCTTCTGTCCAAGTTTGGTAAAAATCCAGGATAGTTTATCAATCTAATAAATGTTTTAAAAACTTAAAGTGCAGACTGTATGTAATGTTAACTGGAAGAAAAACTAAGTTCATTTACAAGTAAAATACGGAAAAAATGGAATTTATTTTTTACTTTTTTACAAAATTTACTTCTGGATACTATCTTTTGATCATAAACAAGGTTCTTTCCAAGTTTGGTAGAAATCCAGGATAGTTTAAGAAAGTTATTAAAATTTCAAAAACTTTAACCACAGAGTGAATGTAATGTTTCATGGCAGAAAAACTAAGTCCATTTATAAGTAAAATACAGAAAAAATGGAATTTTTTTTTTACAAAATTTACTTCTGGATACTATCTTTTGATCATAAACAAGCTTCTTTCCAAGTTTGGTAGAAATCCAGGATAGTTTAAGAAAGTTATTAAAATTTCAAAAACTTTAACCACAGAGTGAATGTAATGTTTCTTGGCAGAAAAACTAAGTCCATTTATAAGTAAAATACGGAAAAAATGGATTTTTTTTTTTTACAAAATTTACTTTTGAATATTATCTTATGATCATAAACAAGCTTCTGTCCAAGTTTGGTAGAAATCCAGGATAGTTTAAGAAAGTTATTAAAATTTCAAAAACTTTAACCACAGAGTGAATGTTATGTTTCTTGGCAGAAAAACTAAGTCCATTTATAAGTAAAATACGGAAAAATTGGAATTTTTTTTTTACAAAATTTACTTTTGAATATTATCTTATGATCATAAACAAGCTTCTGTCCAAGTTTGGTAGAAATCTAGGATAGTTTAAGAAAGTTATTAAAATTTCAAAAACTTTAACCACAGAGTGAATATTTGTGGACGCCGCCGCCGCCGACGACGACGACGACGACGACAACGACGCCGACGGAATGTAGGATCGCTATGTCTCGCTTTTTCGACAAAAGTCGAAGGCTCGACAAAAATGAGATAAAAGAAAAACTAAAAACTGTAGTAGTGAACTAAATATTTCCAACTCATAAATTTTTTAAGAAAATCTAAATTAATACA